ACGAAAGCATTGCGTGGTTGGAGTTGTCAGTAGTTGGGAGGATGGCACAGTTTATGCAGCTAGACTAACTCAACATATGCAATGGATTCAAGAGACTATTAATTAAAATTAATAACAACAACCTTTGCAATTTCTGAATCAAAGTGCTCATTTCAAGTTTTGAATTTGAATGTTGAGCACAATTTTAGTGCTCGATTGTAATCCATGATCAAGACAAGGGTTTACCTCGGGTGCAAACGCAGACCATACCCAAATTGGGGTGTTTTACGGTCGTAATACATCACTGGCGTGGTCAAAAGTTATATTGAGTACGATTCAAACCTAAACCGAGCAAGGCTCACAATTTTTTGTCTGATGATCTTCCTTTTTATAAAAATGAAAGAAAGTCAGCGAGAAAAATACCTCGAAAAGTCTGAACTATAGAGATTCAACTAACTAAGTCTAGCACATTCTTTTTGGATGACTAAGTCTAGCCCAGAAGGTATACTTTTTTTATTGTTTTGAGTTCGTTCGGGCGTAAAAATTTTCGGCTCAAAAATAGCTGAAATTTCATATATTTCAGATTTTACATTATTGATGAAAATTCAAAAATGCAAGCGAACATATTTCGACTTCGGTGTACATTATCGAGGCATTTTCAATGTTTTTGAGCTTGGGCGAGGAAAGACCTTTGCCCCCGAGATATTTTTCGGTTCCGCCTCTTCAAAAGCGCTTTCTTAAGAATCATAAATTTGTGTTTGACCATTTCGTCTAAGTCAGGGGCGGATTTAGGAGAGGGGGGGGGGGCGGACGGACGCTTCCTTCCTCAGGGATTTGACCCCCTGCCGAACCAAAGGGTCCCCCCTTTGGTACTTTTTAAGAAATCTATTTTTAGTGACGGACCCTAAAATTTTTTTAAAGGCGCCAATATATACAAACTTAGAGGGGGAGCGGGCGCCAAAAAAAACGGCGTTTTGTACTTGTTTTTCAAAAACTTGCCTGCGGCGCAGAAAATTTGACCAAAAGAGCGTCTTTACAGTGCTTTAGGAGAACTCCGAAAATCAATTTAGTCGACCTAAAAACAAATTGTCTAAATTTTCGAAAACTTTTTGAAAATCCGCCATCCTCCCTCGAGAAAATCCTAGATCCGCCCCTGGTCTAAGTAACACTTTGGTTAATGGAGCTACCTAGTTATTGTCTACAGAAAATATCAGAAAATTTACCAATTCGGCTTTGAATAATTCGGCGTTTCAACTGACTAATTTGGCTTTGGGAGAAGTTTGGTCCCGTTACAGCTCGACTTTCCCAACAACTTCGCACTCTATCCCACAGAGAGAAACTTGACGGGTTCTTGTCTCATAAAAGGGATCATTGAGTATCCAGGTCTGGTCTTGTCAAGTCTGGTGCGCGTAGGCGGACCAAAATATGCCACACTCTCCAGACAACACTCGATTGAAGAGACCTGCCCTTTGGATGGCCTTTATTCATCGGAAAGTAATCGACCAGTAACCAGGATTTTATCGGAAAAACGGATTCTACCGTTTCCCCACCGCATGCCATTCTTGCACAGAGGCATCAGTTTCAAAAAGATATAATTCCGTTTATAAAGTTGTATGTGAGCACAAAAATTGTGATTGCGTTGCGCAACCACATGCCTCTCAATTTTCACGACAATTGAACAACGTAGACATGACAAAAATTAGACACACTGAAAATAGCAAATGGCGGGTAGAGGTAGAAGAGTCAAATATTCTACAGAAATAACGGAGAATGACTTAATTTTGGTAAAGATGAGCACATAAGATGTATTAAAAACAGTATCTTTCGATGTAAGATTAAAACTGGTTATTCAAGGCTTGTTTCTTCCATGCTGAACTTAAACAAGTTCAACCTCTAAAAAAAACCGCCTAATTTAATATGAAGTTTTATCTTCGTGCAACATGAAGTCAAAATCAAAGCACGAACAATGCTTATTGTTTTAGTGCGTTTGAATAGGAAGTTTATGTACGCACTAACGGGGCCAAAGTTTACCTTTTGTGTTTTGTAAGGGGATTCCGCAACAGGCTGAAAACAACTTTGTCGCTAAGTCCGCAACACGAGTAATTTTCTCTGATAGTTTTGTGGTAATTGAAACCACTGACAAATACCTGAAACAATGTATCACTCCAATTTGCTCCAAAAAACGCAAAACCCGTTTACAGTTTGCGGAATTCACTCACAAATTGCGATATCCGCTTACACAATTGATGTGCAGACAAAATTTTTGTCACAAACATTAGTTTGCAGAGTCCGCGGAAAATTAGAATGGATTTCTTTTTCAATTTGAAACACGTTTGGAGAATTGCCTCTGGATTCCAGAGACTTTTCGACGTCAAACGGTGCGCGTAATTAGGGAAGAGTTCCCGCATCCAGTTTCAAGCGTTAATAAATGATTATAACATGATTTTAGTACCAGTCTTACAAAACTTGAGAAAAAACTGATTTTAATCAATTATAAATCGATTATAATCTCTCTTTTTGAAATCAAACATAATCAATTATAATACATTATGATCAATTATAATCTACTATTTTCATCGGAATATCCAATTAATTTGTTTTTCAGGAAAAATCAACTATAATCGATTATAATAGTTTATAATCCTTTTTGTTTGCCCATTTTGTCTTCGACCTTCCACCTGAATTGCTTATATTTTATGCTTTTCTTAGACGTTGGTTTATGTTAAAACTGGGAAAATTATTTTAACAGTTTTCAAATCAATTCAAATTTATAACGTTTTTTTTTTTCATTTCTTCTTCATTATAGTTGTTTTATGATGCACATTTTAAGATTTTTTTCACCACCAAAATATCAGCATACTTGCTTTAGCTTCATGATTTATATAGAAGAGTTTTATTTCACCGCGCGATTCTTTCAACTAAAATCAAGGGATCTCTGAGAAACTTTTGTATCATGGTAAAAATTTGTGTTCAGATGAACCAAAGAGTGACTGACAAAACATCTCACTTTTAAAACATTTTGAAAGAAAAAAGGATTATACTCTATGTCGATAGATTATAAAATATTGTAAGAGATATCGGAAAAGTTATAATCAATGTATTATATTTTTGATAAAAGTACATTTATAATTGTAATATAATCGATTTTTTTTTCTGTTTTTACTGACTGCGGGTTTGACCTCGTGATGACATTAATGCTTCGAGACACTTTTTAGATAGTTTATATGTACATATAGATATGACTGTTTTATTTTTTTAGTTTTTTCAGTAAACGTTTCAAAACAGTATATTAATAAGCGTAAATATATATTTTTTAAATTAACTTTTGACATTTTTTGACAATTGAATGATTTCTTTTCATCACTGTTATTTCGAATTATCCCATATTGAGAACACTTTTTCTGTTCACTTTTTCGAGCTTTGTAATTAGAAAACGTGATTTGGCTTCCTTTCAGTAATTGAATATGATTCGAAGTTTACGTATCAAAACTCAAACCGTAAAAGTCAAACAGCAGTTATTTCATCATTCGTAATTAGAGTGGTATTTGCCTTTTTTCCGCTAACGAATTCAAATTTATCACAGGAAGTTTATATACACCAAAGCACATTCATATGCTCAAAACATAGGAGAGCATTTCTGTATTTATGAAAAAACCATTTAACGATTTTTTTCTTGAAAAAACAACAACAGCTAGTTGGAATAAATTGTCAATGAAAGCAATGAAACGACTGAAAAAAATAGTGATTTGTTGATTGAGAAAACTTAAGTTTTAGAGTTTCAAAGAAAACAAGTTGTTCACATTTTTTCGCGCCATTTCTACATTTTTAAACCGTAGCTTGTTTCCCTTTGAAAAAAAGAACTGAAATTTAATTTTAAAAAAACAGAAAGCCAAATCGCAAAAAAAAACAAGTTTGTCGTAATTAAATTTTTTCATTTAAAACAATTCAAATTACAAACATGATCCATGGAAGAGTCTTCGCTATGTTCATTAACACTTTAAAGCGAAGCAAAACAACCAACACAACCTATAAAAGTGTCCTTACTACGTCATTGATACGTGCTATCACAGAGACGAGCTGCAACTTCGCAAACACGAGCGAGAAAGCTGCGAAGCTTCAGGAGCTTTTAATTGCAAAATAAATTTGACATGCAATGATTTACAGGCACCCATCGATGAGTTGGAAAATTTCTGAAACCTTATGTTAATTAGTATACTCTTGTATAACACAAGAAGCTTTTTTCGTTTGTTTTCCTTGCCGTACTAACCTTTTAGAAATCAAATCCCATATTTTTAAATGCTAACGCAGCCTCCTGATTCAGAAGTAGCACATATATTTGAGACTTAGGTTGGAAAACAAAATTGAATCGTATTATCTCGTGTAAAAAAAGCTCAACATTTTGCTGTATCGTTTTCTTATTGGGATTACAGTTTTCTCATTTGGATTTTGCTTCTAAGGCTTTCAGCTTTCATGATTCAATTGCATCTCGACTGTCAAATGGCTAAAACTTACTTTGTTTGCTACTAATAAGTCGAAGCTGTCTCATTTCGTAATCTCATACAAGACCGGATCTACGATTTTTAAGGAGACTGGTTTTCAAAAACTGAAGAAAAAATCCGTCGATTGTTTAGGTCAATCAAATTGATTTTTGTTTATCTTAAACGAAAAATTTAAATGACAAAAATCGGGTGTCGCAGTCAAATTTTTGTGAACTATTGGCCATAATACATTATTATGTGGTTTTTCTGAAGTTTTGACCCAAAAATTGCTATGTCAACATATAGTACCAAAAGATAAGGATCTTATGGTAGTCATTGTGTCCAAACCCTGAGAGGTAGAGGTGAAAGTCGACAACAATTTCTACATTTCGACAACAATTTTTCTAATTTCTTTCTGGATAACCAGTCTGACATGGTTTTGGATGACTTATTTCTCCACATCGTTTATTAATGCTAGATACGCTCCAGCCTTTGTGTTTTAATAGAAGTAAAAACCCTATTTTTAATCTCAAACTGTTGAAAAACTTTAGAAAACTTTTTTTTAGGAAACTGAACTATTCAGATGGACCGTATAACTGCAATAAGTTTATCAAACTTAGGTAAAACACAATGACAACTCTTGTTTAAATCAAAATCCAGCCATTCAATCAGTTTTCTCCGTCTTTATACAGCAGTGGCTTCTGTTGTTTTACTGTCTGCAGTGTCCATTTTGGAGTTCTCTCGTTTCTGAAGTTTGCGTTTGATCCTCTTGAAGCGGGATGTCTTCTTGATCTTCTTCACTTTCTTCATGCTGCGGAATACCTTAAAAACAGTTTTATCAACATGCAGACTAACACCACCAAAGTAGAAATGGAATCAAAAAGCAACAAAAACTGTTTAAATGTTTCATCTTCGAACGGTTGGTCGACAATTCGTAACAGGCGATAATTCGTAAAAAGGTTTTGGCAAGTAGCGACCGTGTGCTCTTACAATATGCACGTCTTCGGACATTAAAATCCCTGGAACGGTGAAACAGTTCCAATTATGGATCAGGTTATTTCTTATGCTGATAATTCAAAATTACAGTGTAACGACTTTTCCAGCTATTCCAGAAAGCGTACAGTCAGTCAATCAAAATTTATTCAAAGGTCTAGAATTCAAACATAATTGACAGCTGTAAAGCTTTTTTTGTCAGATTCCAGATAATCTATTCCCATATTCCAACTATTAAATTATTGAAAATACGAAAATAACGACACTTCCATGCTCGGCAAATTTGACCAGGCTTAAATTAATCGAAGAACACAATGGCAATTTCACATTTTAACCGAAAATCAGATCAAGAAAGAAACCGGTCGTGTTAAGAGTGTAACCTTGCGTCGGTCCTTTCTGGACAGCCAGTCTGGCATGGTTTTGGATGACTGGAGTTTGGTGAGGAGCTGCTTTTCGATGTTGCGCAGGGAGTACTTGCTGCTACGGGAGGTGAGGGAGCTGGCGTCGTCTTTTGAGTGCACTGAGGCACTTTCTGCGTCTTCAAGACTGCGAGGAGTTCCGGGAGACCTCAGATCTGCAAAGAGATAATGCAAGCAATTTTTAAAGCTCTTTTCTGCTCTGATCACCCAACAATTTCGAATTTTCATTTCATAGCTGTTTTTGGTGTTCTAATAGTTAGATGAGCAATATTACGATTGGAAGAACAAATAGGTTGCTAATAGTTACCTTGTTCACCGAACAAAATTTCAGTCGGAAATAAGCATAACTTTCATGTAACTTAGTGCAGTTTTTAAACAATTATTACTCGCGTAAAACTTTTTGGCCGTTTAAAAAACCTTTGGTTGCGTAAAAACTCACTGGATACGGCGAAAACCGGAATCAAGAGCATTTGAGATCCCTATTTAAAATTTATATAAATTTCGATTATAAATTGTACTAAAGGGTCTTTGAACACTTAGGTTTACTTATCTGATATTTCAAAGTCCATTCAAAACAACTAAAAGAATATGAGAAACTTCCTGTTGTAATCGATAAAACTATTTCATCTTCCCTGTATAAAAAACTACTTACCATCATAAAAAAACTAAGTTTTAATTTCAAAGGTTATTGGTTGAATCGGGGTAAGCAAACGTCAATTAAAATTTAAAAATATGAAAATGCTCAAATAAATGATTTCAAAAATTCGCTCCATTTGGTTTATTTCAAGTTATTTTAACAATTAATATATCAATCAAACTTTCCCTAAAGGGATAGATTACTGCACCTCGAGCAACCCGATTAAAACGACTAATACTAGCCTAGAACTGTCTTTACCTCTGTACTTAAAGTAAGCATCAAGTGCATGGTGAAAAACTTAGATAAAAATCATCTTCATGCAACAAAAATATGAACAACAAAGACATGAACAACAGAAATTTTTGGAATACCTTAATTATTATGAAATCAAAACTTATGTTATAATCCAACCTTGTCGAGCCAAAGTTTGCAAGTAAAAAGAGAAAGGTGAGTGGATAGTTAAAACAACCCAGCGTAGCATTTGCATAATCAGCTTTTCAAAAAACCAAACGTATGCAGGCGTCGATGAACGCACCTAGATCCATGAGGGGATCCTTGTCACCCGAACTACTCTGACTCTCCGATCTCTGGCGATCCCCTTTGGTCGTGTGACTCTTAAGAGCGAACGCGTACAACTCCTGGATGAGGGGTCTGTTCTCCCATGGCTTCGGAACATACGTGCCATCCTCCTTGGCCTTCTGGATGCCCTCCAGCCTCTCCAGTCGCTTCTTCACTCTCTCCCTCTTCGTCCGCTTCAGAGACTGGCTGTGAAGCCCTCGTGCCATTTTGGTTGATATTCAAAGATGGCTCTGCGCAAGCAACAAACCTAATCTGAAAAAAGCGATCTCAATAACGTTCCGAACGCATTGTTTATACTTTTAACTTTTGTCGACATTGAACAATTGTCGTAAAAACTGGCAAGCGAGTTGATTGCCCAATGACATTTAAATTTTTCCTCATGAACAGCTTGGCAAAACAGTCGTTGCACCGTAAAAATAGCCCTTACATCTGGTGGGGGAGAGAAAACAGTAGTAGGGTCTGAATTTCAATCAATAATTTTTAATTAAGGCAATCAGACTTAATTAAGGCAAACCTTCTATTTCCGGAAAAAGAATGACAATTGCTCATGGAGTCTGGATGTCCAGAATATTAAATATCGTCACACGTCATACGACAACTGACAACAATGAATACCGAAGTACGAGTGCCTCTTCGCGGCAGTATCCACGCCATGCCTCACGGCATGGCCCAAATCTCGTACAAACATGCAACAAGAACATCGTTGCCCAATTCGTGTTTTTATTCTGGGAACGGAGAAAACCAGCGACTACGTTCCCCTTCCATTCAGCTGGATCAATCTGCAAGAAAAACAGAACTAATATCACTAGCTCTCAATTCCTCAATCATTCTGCAAAACTGGAAAGTCGGTAGACTCTTTCCTTTACTGAAACCAGGCAAAAGCAAAGATCAAGCAAAAAGCTACCGACCCATAGCCCTCTTCACCCTAGTAGCGAAATTGAGTGAAATTATCCTGCTGGATGATTTCAAAAAATCCCACTAGCAGATCAGCAGCACGGATTTCGGAAACACAGGTCAAAATACGCTACCTTCGACTGCGGACTAATATACGGACTAAATCCACCTTATAACAAACGGTCTAAGTCAACCTCGTCCTCCACAAAGGACACTCCTAGTTGCTTTAGTTTTTACTGCAGCTTTCGACACAGTGGATCACGGTATCTTGCTGCACGATCTTGAAACGTCGTCTCTTCAAAGAATACAAAAGATGGATAACATAATATTTACCACGCAGGAAAACTTAGGATTTTAAAAACGAAAAATCAGAAATGCGACGAATGAAACAAGGTGTACCTCATGGAGGAGTCTTGTCGCCGCCTATTCTGTTCAATATTTACATGTCATCAATGCCCCTTCCATCTGCCGAAAACATCAAAACAACACCCTATGCAGATCAGATGACATTTCTATCACCACCACTGGTCCGAAAAATACTGAACTTGAACTAGAGGTACAGCCCTATCTAAGTACTCTATAAAATTGATTTTAGAAACGCAATTTAAAACTAGAGGCTGACAAATCTTCAGCGACTCTTAAATCAACCTGGAACAAAGAAATAAAGAATCAAACTAATGTGATTATTGAAAACAACCCTTGCACACACTTCTAAAACCAAAATCTAGGAGTCACTTTTGATAACCTCTTCACTCTCACTGAACACAATACCAAAGTGATAAACAAAACGCAAACACGAAATAACTTACTGAAAAAGCTCTCAGGCACAAGCTGGGGATGCAGCAAAGAAAATCTAAGTATTACATGTAAGGCCATAAGGCCGTTCTGAATTGCGCAGCTCCTGTAGGGACACCTTCAGTAAGGTATTCTCGTTGGAAAAAGATCTTCAAACTCGACAAAATACAGCACTTAGAATTGTAACTGGCTGCACAAAAATGACCCCAATTCAACACCTTTATTGTGAAACTCAAATACTGTCAGCAAAAGAACACAAGGAAACGTAGGCAAACAATTCTAACTGCCTTCCATCAACAAGAACAGTGTGACCACCACACAACTAAACTCAACCCGATGTCGAGACTAAGAAAAAAACCTTTGCCGAAAAATACTATGGCAGCATCAAAAAAAAAACATCTTGATGAAAATGATCGCTGAACACCAGATCAATACAAAGTCGCTCTGAAAACAATTCATTCATATGAGGTAAAAACTACGAACATACCTCTAAACTGACAGGCTCTCAAACTCCAGAAACAGCTTCGGAAGAAAACAGCCTTCCCAGAAGTTCGCGACGTACTCTTGCTCAACTCCGCTGTAGATATAGCAAACAATTAAATAGCTATCTGTCGACAAAAGCATCTAAAACAACTGCTCGAACTGTAACGCTAGTCCGCACGACACACACTACCGCTTCAACTGTCCATTGAAGCCAACATCTCTTAAACTTGACGACCTGTGGGACAACCCCGTTGCAGTCGCAAACTGGCTCAACTTATTAAAACGGAGCACATTAGGAATTTTGCTCGGTTCTCAGCACTAACTAAAAATGCCCGCGAAATCGGTCACGGGAGTTTTGCTCGGTTCTCCGTACTAAAACTGCCCCCTACAACGGGGTTTACTCAGTACTGTCGGAAGGGGTCCTTCCTGCTCTTTCCTGGGAAAGCCACGGTTAGTTTTACGGACAAGACGAAACAATCAATCAGCCTCCACAATCTTTGGATTGTGGAATACTGAAAATAAACGGCAATGAAGACACGAATTTGACGACCCCTCTTAATGCAGCTACAAACAACAACAACTGCTGACAACAATAGACAGAAAGCAAAGATGCACAACTCGCAAAATCTAAGGAATGCGACAACTTTCAATAATATATAAAACAAATCTCACTAACTGCAATCTAGCTTTGCAACAAAACTCGATTCACGCGCATTATACCACTCGTGCCGCTCTACAATATGCCATTCTACACAGATTTTACTGCATTCTTTCTAAGATTTAACACAGAGGCGAATTTACACTTCGCACACAGAAGCAAAAATATGACCGAAAACGCTACTGGAAAACTGAATGAGTAAAACTTTGAGTCTATAAAATTTAATAAGTGACGCACTCCAATTATGAGTCTACATAAATGCGAAGTAACGCAAGTCAATTATGACGCATTAGCAGCACCAGTCAATTTGAAAAAAAAAAAGAAATTTACCAACTAAAATGCCCCATTTATAGAGCCGACGCATTTTAACTAGCATGTGAAAAAGTTCATTAAAACATCTGACCCTGCCCAGGTTCGAACCCTCTTATTTTGCTGCTGGTCTCCTTCCATACCTCTACGCTACAGATCCATGCTTCCTAGCTAAAGTGCTATTTGTAATATAATAGTCTGTGTTAATATCCATAGCATTGGCTGTACTTAATAGCTGTATCAAAATGAACACTTTCGAAATGAACACGTTTTGTCGCAACAATTGCATCGCAACACTTTTTGCGACTTAGGTTCAAAAAAAAAAGAAAATTCATACTATAACACCAGCTATGCTTGTGTAAAAAGACCGACAGACATTTAAATAAAAACGGGACTGATTTTTTAAATTAAAAAATTTGTTACAATAAAGACTTTCATAAATCATATATAGAATTTATACTACTTCTGGGACAAACAAATGTGCCAATTACGAATAAAGCAACGACTTAATATACAAATGTATTCACAAAAGCACCAAGATGATGAAGCTCCCATGTGGCTCTAAGACTTTTTAAGCGATATGTACATTAGTGTTGTGGTAAAACCTCAATAAATTAATCCCTGTATCAAATTCCGTAAAATTCTTAAGATATCTGTGAAAACCCTTCACTTTTTTTCCAATACGATATGATTTAATTATCGGAATTGAAAATAACATTGCCCTACTCCGATAAACGAACAGAACATTTTGACTACGCTTCAGATGGTGGGTATACTTCGTTTGCCGAATCTACAGCGTTGTCTATTTTCTTCTGCTCTTTCTTCATCCATCTGTGTACTGCTGGAACCAGAGTCCCACCTAATAAAATCTGGGTGGGATGGTAAACTAACAATGGAATCGAGTACAGAGGCAAGTTTGGATCCTGGCTAAATATTATTTTCAACATCGGGATCCCCAACGTCAATGACTTGTGAGTCGAACAAAATATAATTGCAACTGTATCTGCAGGCTGAAACCTCAGTTTTTTACCTACATTTTCATTTGTGCTTAAATTAAAAGTCAAAGTTAGCACAAAGATTTGAAATATTACAACCACGAATGCGATTTGGAGAAGACTGAGTTTATCCATTTCGAAGTTGGAGCTACTAAATGTGTCACAGAAAGTAGTGAATATGATCAGAAGAAGAACGAGGTTCCCTATCATACTGTAAGGTATCTTCTGTCGGTCCAGGAAGTCTTTGAAGTTCCTCCTGATTGCATTCCCCAGGATGATTGGAAGAACGACAGTGAGGAAGAGCTGGTTGAATATTTTACTCAGTGGGACTGAACTCGAAGTGCCTGGATAAATAAGATACGAAAAAATTATTTTAATTTGTATGTTCATGCTAACATACGAATAAATTGGTCAAAACTGTCAAATGAAATTGCCAATAAAAAACTAGGAATTTAAGCAGGAAATAATCTATCAGAAAATAACCTGAGAAATCTTAAAGAGCATCATTAACTGAACCTTATAAGAAGAGTTTAACTGCAACTCTTTCAAACCATTACGAAGTTCAAGATGACAGAAGTTGACTTACATCTTTGCTAGTTTTCCAGTTAAATCTAAAGAATAAATTGCATTGAGAGCATTTATCGACAAAGAAACAGACTAGCACTCGAGCTGTTCCCCTCCAAAAGGAACCATTATTGTGCCATTTTTTTTGTTCAAATTATGTACATGTGTATGTAAATTTTACCACATCCTCAAATGACAAGAATAAATCATTCTGCACATTGAACCTCTAACCTATGAATTGAGAAACATTAATGAATTAGTTGCATTAATCACTACGTGTGTAATTTTGTTGGTCACATTAGTTTAAAAGCTAATGTCTCTCACCGACAAGTTGAAGTAGCAACATCGGTGTCACAAATATGCCGAGAAAACTTCCGAAAGCAGAGTTAAATATTGCTACTGCCTCGTTACCCTCGGCTGCCTTGGTCAAAATCACAGCCGAAGAGACAGGGGGAGGCATACACGCCACTACTTGAAACCCTGTCAGAAGTGCCCGAAGGATTCCCAGTTTAGTCAAAAACGGTATCAAGAACTTCACAAATACTGGAATAAACCCGAGTGTGAACAGCTGAATAAAAACGTGAACTTCTAGTTGATATAAAGCTTTCGAAAACTCTTCGGTTTTGATTGACAGACCACTGTTGAAGAAAATAACGAACACTGCTACATATTTCACAGTGTATTCAGGAGCAAGCGGTCCATCTTTAGCCCCTATCCATGGTTGAAATTTGGCTACCACAATGGCTAAAACTATGCTTAAGAGGAACCAATTCTTTTTCAGACGATCTTTAAGCTGGGCGATCATTTTAAGTCGAAACAGTTATTTACCATTAGACCTGAAAATAAACTGATTATACCGCTTTTGATCTTGCATGATTATTCGTGAGCAAATACTACGCAGACAACGATTGCGTTTCTAGACATGATATTAGTAGTAACTAATGCCGAAACAGTAACAATGGGCACAAAACCGACAGCAGAAGAGTACCTAAATTAAAGGTACTACAGTGCGATGGTGAATTCCCATAGGTTCTAAAATAAAAAATCAGTCGCATAAGTTCCAAAATTTATCTTCTTGAATTCTGATTGGTTGAAATTTGAGCCAACGAACTTATGGATTGATTGTTGATTGTTCTACCAGCATAAACTCAAGCTGCAGAATAGTGACCGCCGCAGCAGCGCCAACATGTTGCGAGCTGGCCACCAAAAGGTAGGACTCTATACGAAATTTAGAGCCGGTTATCGCCGCAAAGCGGCAACGCGCGCGTAGCGCGCCCATCGGCGACCTTAAACCGAGACTCGGCTAATTTAGTCTTTTGACCAATTGAAAAGATTTGGAACTTATGCGACCCCGTGCGATATACTGAAAAGAAAGAATTGAATAGCAGTTTCGCTCATTCGCGTTGGAAACTGCAATTATTTTCGAATATTATCTTTGAGCATTTACTGAAATTGAAACGCTTTGTTTTGTACGTATTGTTACGGCAAACACGCAAATTACCAACAGTCAAATTTCTAATCTATCTACAATCACGGGATACAGCAGTTGCAACTTTTTGATTTCAACGAGCAAATGAACGACTTTTTCTTCACGTTTTTGCTGTTTTCTCCGCAACTAATAGAGAATTAAATTTTGACATTTGTAAGATGAATTTATTTGGAAGGGCTTAGCAGGGCCATAATTTGAAAAATCTTGTTTTTAAATCGTGAATTAGCCAGTATAACATAAGTTGTTTTGGTGGTGATCTAGATGTGATCCTGAGCTCTTTCAACATTTATTTGTCATTTTCCTTGACGTAAGAAGTAAGTCAGGTTCATTAGCTTCCCAAAAATTATGTTGAGCCCCTAATTTAAATTTTTTATATTGTTTGCGAGGATGTTTTTGCAAGTAGAACAAATCTGAAACTAACTGTGTTTAACTGGCTAACTCATGCCTTAAAAACAATATTTCTGAAACTAATACCAGGTAAACTGTTTATTGGATACCCATTTCTGCCAGTCCAGTATGCATACCAGCAAGCTTTCTTGAATCAACAACATACCATGATTGTGAACGGTACGAATGTAAGAATGTTATGGGCCGATGATAGCAGTTCTTTACCCAACAATTACTACTCAGCGCTCGCACAGTTCAAGCTGCTTGACAAAAGGCTCGCCAAAGATAAACACTTCAGAGAACATTTCGGTTCAGATGCATACAAAATATACAGAGCCGAAACTAGACTTATTGTTACATCTGTTATGTAGGCAATTGTGAAATCCTAAAGAAATATCGAAAATTAGTTCCTTCTACAACCCGTTCTGCACATACTTTCCAACTTGTTCTTAACGATGCTATTGGTTCGGCAGATAGACTGCAAGAAACGTAAAAGACTGGGAAAGTTTGAGTTTTACCATTAATCTAAAATACTAACGACAAATTTAGGCTTGTAAGAAAAATATCAAACGTTTTTTGAGTTAAAACTTCCTACAGTGGAACCTCGTGAACAATTTGGATCCCTTTAAGAAGCAACCAAATTTTCAGGTAGTGTAAAAATTGAACCTTTTCAACAATTTTTTTATGCTACAAGTTTTTATCAAGTTGCTTAAAATACATCGAGGAGCTGATTGAAGTCGGAGTTGAATTACAAGGACCGTTGATCTCAGATGAATCCTCAAAAATCAATTCTGTTTGGAGCACTCTAAATGAAGCGGCGAAAGGAAAACGACAACAAACTAAAATATTTCAGCAGTAGGAAATGACACATATAATGAGGTTTAAATATATCCTAAGGTCCATGATTCGGTTATCCCTTATGACGGCGCACGTCAATTACAATATCCCAAAGAATTTTTTAAAAACAATTTATGATACTAATTACCGAGGATTGGTGCATATCACTATATCGCAACTAAAGAACCCCAATTCAGCAGCTTCAATTAATTTGAGACGACATCTAGAGATAGTGCTTATGGTACAAGGCACTTTTCTAGAGATTAAATTTTGTTGTATCTGTTAATGGAGTCATAACTAAAAAAATTTGATAATGAACTAACGAAAAGATATATCATGACCCACAGAGCACTGCTACAGATAACAGCAATATGTCAAATTTTATTTACGACCAAAATCTTGCCAAGGCAAAAAAATAGCTTTATCTTGGATGGACACGAGTTCACTTAAAATCTACCAGTCACAGGGGTTGAGCAAAATTGCGTTCCCAAAACTTTCCGATGAATTTGGCTTTGGGACGAAAAATTTAATACATGCCATCTCAATATCATCAATTGCACACAATACATACCCAGATTGGCGGCTTCCATCCCCTCTGCATTTACGTTTCGCTTAGCAACAAAAAAGAGTCCCCTAAAATCAAGTTCCTTGAAGCCCTGATTAGCCTTAACGGGGACTTCCGATCTGTAAAAATTCTCATTGACTCCCAACGAGCTGCCTTGAAAGTATATTCGTCTCTAGACGAAATCAAACATTGCTTTTTTTAGTTATGGCAAAGCTTCCATCGCAAACTGTCAAGTTAAGTCTGAAAAAGTTCTTTGAAAAAAAGCTAAGCTAGTCTCAATCGTTTAAATAATCTCAGCTGTAAGCTTCGTTCCTCATTAAGATGTCGAGTTTGCGTTTCCTTTTCCGCTAGTCATCGACGAAATGTGCGGAACTGCCGATCAGGATGACATTCCAACTGCTCTTGAGAAAATTGACAAACTCGCATATAATAAAGGAGAAAAAATTGGTCGACAACAAAATGACTATTTATTCGCACCAGCTCTTTAAAATGATTGCAACAACGCGACGAAAGGTTTCACTAGAGCAACCAACTCAGATAAAGGTTGACTTGAGGGCGTTACAACGCTTTTCCAGAGCAGCCATTCCTGAATTGAAACGTTTTAAGAAAAAAATCGGCTTTCAACCAGAATTTATATTATGAAAGCAACCAGTGTTTGAAATTAGAGCCCTCGTAAAATTACCAGTTTTGGGAGGTGCGAGAGACCAGCACAACAAAAATTTTACCTTTTCCCTCAACCCGCCTCCATATCCTCTGCCCGAAACAGGGGTTTTTAAAGGTTTGGGGTACAATTTTCAATTAAAACTTTTGATCCACCGTGAATTGATCGTTTGATATTTTGACCAAGAGTCATATTCTGTAACCATAATGCCAAGTGAGCTTAGAAAAACATATTTTTTGCTTTAATAATTTGGAGGATCGCGAATTTAGAAGGTGCGTTGAAACTTTCAAATTTTAATTGAATTTGATTTCACACGCTTTTTCACAAGGTAGGATTGCTTTGATCAATTTGGTCAATTGCAGCATCTTGGTTTTGATTTTTTTATATTAACTTTGTGCAATATTTTAAATGTTTCGACTCCTCAGATGGGAACTCCTAATTAGGGTAAGCGTGGGATAAAAAGCAAGGTATAATTTTCCATGAAAACCCTAATGATATAGTCTTTTTTCACATGGTCCTGAAACCAGAGGTTTAATGCTATTAGTAAAGGGCAACTATTAAATGATCGAGTTCAGTAGAGTTTGAGAAAAAAATCTGATGCGTTTGTACTTTACATAGCTTACTTCGTTAATTTAGCAAAAATTGAACCAGCTGTGAGTTATTTATAGAACTGTTTATGTTCGATAAATAGATTTTCACCGAAAAAATTTTCTGTTCAAAACTTTAATGTTTGATATTTAAGTTTATCGTATTTGTGTTTAAGGTTAGCCTATTAATGGGCATTTCACATGCCTTTCGGCTATCCTCTCCAGTGCTAAATTATTTGCTTGTCATTTCAATTACTCTTTTTTTGGAACAATGGGCAATCTCGCGTGGGCAATAAAATAAACTTCAGTCGGCCAATTGATTGCGTGGTACGAACACAACCACTTGCGTTTGCTGACGTCTTTTTGTAGAGTTTTACCGTTTTGCTTGGGTAGAGATAGCGCAATTGGTCATTACGAGGGGAGATCGTTTATTTGGGGGCTAGCAATTTGGACAAGCGGCGATGCGATAGAATCTGAAAAACAATATTCAGGAATTGAAAAATTTCAACAAAAAAATGTATATTGATGAAAATATTGTGCACATATGAAGTTTTTAGTTGAAAGCTTACATTAAACTTTCAGTAAACATCTATTTGCGTCAGCAAGCTGCCTTAAAATTAATTCAGATGCGTCAGACTCACTTACTCTTCTCAAAAATAGTCCTGCAAAAATATTATATTCATTTTCTTATGGAGTGTACTAACCTATTTGGAATGTACAAAGAAAAAAAATCGCTCAAAGCTGCAAATATTAAATGGCTTCATGTTGCTGAATCGTCTCAAGAAAACAAATCAGTCGACTGAATGTTGGAAGAACTGTTCATGCTCAATTCGAGTCCGAATGAATCATCAGGTCTAAACAGATCTTCTTCAAAGCTCCCGCTAAGGTCTAAATCGGCAGGTATCCCTAGATCGCCGAATGAGTCATTATGTCCAATAGGAATTGAACTAGGTTCAGATTGAACTGGTCCTTGGTTTCCCGTATTTGAGGCGACTGATTGGCTAAACGGCGATGCCTGGTATCTGCAATCCGAAGCAGGGGAGTTACGGTCAGAAATATTATTCTGCATAATTGCAGGCACCTCAGCACTTGTATTAAAATTGATTTTTTGGTTGTTTCCAAATAAATCATTACTAGAGCTGGACTGCACTGACATCAGTTGACTATCTATAGATTGATTGGCACTTGAGTTTGACAAAGGTGAACATACTTGCACACCTGATTGTACATGGGTCATTACTGCACTTGGATTTTGCATGCTATGATTGGCTGAAACTGCGCCGTGAGTGGAACCTGAGTCACTTCTGTTTGAATTGGAACTTGGAGACATATGGGAAGGAGTGGAGGAATAAGACGCATTCATTGAACAAGGACTCCCATTGGAGACGTTTGACACTGATGAGAAACTTTGATTGACAGGTGTGCATGATGAAACTGGCGATGGGTTCTGCTGATGAAATGACACCTCTCCTATCCCATAATTCGTACTCATCATTTGAACACCTCTAGGCACTGTGTGGTAAATTGTCCCGTCATATGTGTACTGAGGTTGCATGTTTTGAATCATAACACCATTGAAGGGAGTTTGAAGCGGCACCATTGGGGTTCCTGTGGGACTACTAGGATCCCGGGTTGTTGGAATTCGATGAGGATTGATTAAACTTCTACTCATCGTTTGCTGAGTGGGTGGCAATATGTTATTTTGATTCGTGTGCCCCAAATTATCAACTACGTACTTCTGATGAGCTTTTTCCTCAACAATCATCCGGTGAATTTTTTTGTTCAGATAACCCATTCTCGCTTTCTTGTTGGCTTCAAACTTTTCCCAACTCAAAGCCTTCGGGTCTTTACCACCCGGTCGGTTGTAATAAATCACCTCTGGGTTCTGTTGCGGTCCACAAGGAGGTCCCCCGGGAAACTCGCTCTGGGACACCGATGGGTAAGTCGGCGGAGGCACACGACTTGCAACCATCTGGTGATGTTGCTGTTGATGATGACTTTGTTGTTGCACATTAGATAAATGACCTGGTCCATACATAATAGACCGTTTATAACAAGTAAAAGCATAATCAGGTATAACAATTCTCCATAGAGTCGATTGAGAAATCTCAAACCTGACAATTCATATAGTAAATTTGTTCTTCGAAAGAATTCGTGCTTCAGATTTACAATCTTCGTTGAATTTGAGTATGTTTGAGTGAGACAAACAGATGATTGGTTCTGCCGAGTTTGGAGACTGTCATTTATCTAACCTGAAATAAAAAGTCATCGACAGTTGGATTCTTGTGTTTGCTGGTATACAACTTCAATGAATCTACGTTCTACTGATTGATCAACTGATATCAGTATTCTTGAGAGAGACATGAGAAACTTTGCGCTATTTGCGCTGAGCTGCCATTTTGAAAATTAACGCAGTTGGTTTATTGCCTCGTACTTTTATACTGATACTGAGGTTGATTTAATACTATCTAGGTAAAATCTTCGCTAAAACCACTTGTTTATTGAGATTTCTGCAATGCGAACCAGTCAATGAAGACATATACTAGTTTTAAGTTAGACAGCTAAGCAAAATCGAGTGTTAAAAAAACTCATAAACTGTTATTAATTAAGTAGTGGTGCAAATAAATAACACCGAATAGTGGTAAAACTATGCTCTCGCAAATAATCGGTCCCTATTTGACCTGCGTGTTATTGAGTTGTTCACGCTAAGTATCCAAGACTCTCTGCTTTGGGAAAGAACATGTTCTGCATAGCATTCTCGAGTACCCCATCTGAGCGTGTTTTCAGCCCTGTTGGAAACTTTGTTACCCAGAAATGACCAATACTTACTAAAGATCTTGCGAACATGCAAACTTTTCTCCATGAAAATGGGAAAATTTTCAATTAAATATAGATCTTCACTTTTTTCAAGAATACTGAAAGTCCTAATGAAATGCCGAATGTTCGACGAACGGTCTAATGTTTTTGACGATTGTTGCACTACTACAAATAAATGGCATGGTTCAAAACAGTTCGGAATTTTGCACAGCTTCGATTCTTTTTTCTATTATCAACAATAACTTTAAATAACTTTGATCCTCTTTTAAATCAGCTGACACAAATTTCTAGGCTAAGAATATAAAATGGGTTAACATAGCCAACAGACAAGGGATATAGGACCAAGTTGGGGCTCTCTGAATTTCAAATACCGTTAATAATTGGCCGTTTTTTCGTAAAGTTATCTCATGTAGAAAAAACCAGATCAATTGGTAACTTTTATGTTTTGCTAGGTGTTCAGAAAACTTGAAACAAGAAGTGTTCAGAAGTCCAAATTTGAAACAAGAAGTCTTTACGTTTTTGGTAATCTTTTCACATTCGCTGTTCGATTGCGGAGTTTGCCTTCACTTAACAAAGGATATGCAGTGAAATTGAAAATAAATCATCTAATAAGCCGAGCAAAATCAAATTTGAGCGTGAAATAATTTTTAGACTTTCTAAGATAAAATCAGCTATATAAGTGAAATCCACGTGTTCCTTTTACATTAAATAAAAAAAGCGGAAAAATAAAGGTAAAATTTCGAATTTTGAATGCAGTCGCCCATTTCATTACAATTCACAATTAAAAACAAGGTATACAGGACCGATCCTTGTGACACACTATGATTTACCGGAAGCCATTCCTAACTATTGCTATTTGTTCCAACTATTATTTCTCTGTTAGTCAAATACCGTCTATAACCATCATAAGTAAGATCTAACCAATATGCTTCCAAGACAAAACTAGACTAGCGGTTGCTGCCGAGTATCACAGAATGATTCCACCACGATCATTCAAAGAAAGAAAATTTGAAGAAAAAAAAACATTTTAAGCTTCAAAATTTTTTCTTCAGTTATTTCCAAGTTATTTATATCTTGAATTAATTGAAAAAAAGGGAATTTTAAATTATTGTACTGTTGTATGAAACAAACTGCTTTTTTCAGTTCAATTGGCGAAATAAGAAAGCATCAACTGTGTAAACTAATTACTTATCAAATGTCAAAGCAAATGCTAATATACTGCTAATGCATCCCACTGATTCAAAAAGTAGCACTTTAATTTGCAGCGTAGGTTCGAATGAAGTTGCATCATACTAAGTTACGCACGTGTAATTAGGTAATTAGTGTACTGTTTCATGAAACAAACAGCTTTTTTCGGTTCGATTGACGAGGCAAAGCTTCGTAAACAATAGCAAGAACACGACAAAAAAAACAGCTCTATAAAAAGCAATATGAAAAATTAGAAATACGCCTCGAATTGGTAAATATTCTACAACGTTTCGGATTTGCACTTGCGACCTTAAGACTATGAGTCTCACACACTAACCACGAACGCTTAATATGCAACAAACACTAGCCACAGATAAAGCAGAGAACAGGTGCTATGCAATTTCCAGTCCTACAGTGAAATTTCCAAAAAAATGAACACTTCAATCTGCGAGTTATGTTGAAAAAAGAAGGTTCGTAATAATACACTACGCTGATCGCTAGAGTAATTATATTTCTAATTCATCTCACTGATTTATAAGTGCCAACAAAAAGTATCACTTTTAATTCAGACTTAGGTCGGAAAAAAAGTTGCATCGTTCTATTACACTACGCTTCTCTTATGAAAATATAACCGAATTAAATTAGGATGTCGTCTGGATCTTAATTCATCACTTTTTGTCTAATTTAGTCTAAACCTGTTTTCCTCGACACTGACCGATTTTTTTTGAATTTTACTTTTTAGAATCCGAATTGTGACCAAAACGACTTTAGTATGGCTTGACTTCCTACGCGTTTTCTTAGAGGCATTCAAAATTGGCTGAAAAAAAAAACGATCCGAACCCTAAGTTCCTTTCTACTCTTCAAGTGATCGGAACAATAACTTATCAAAAAAGTCTTTCAGATTCATGCGTCTTGCTTAATGCTATTTTATAACACAGAAGCGAAATTGCATTTAGCAAACATAATCATGGGAACAGCAAAAAAGCTTTAAAAAGGAAAAAAATGAAACAAGGAAATAAAATCAGAATCGATTTAGATTGGATAAAAATTAAAATTGTTATAATATCAGAAACTAACATATTATAAACAATTTATTTTTTGAAAAACCCAAACAGCTGCTTAGCATGGAATTAGCTACAACAGCTCGTGACTCGCACCTACGGTGCTTCAAACAGATTGTTGACGTAAACGCTTAGCATGGAATTGGCTACAACAGCTCGTGACTCGCACCTACGGTGCTTCCAACAGATTGTTGAACGTGAAAATTGCGCATTAAAACAATTTAAGTAAAATTATACAGTTCAATGCTATAATAAATAGACTGGTGACATGAGATTCTTGTTTAACTTAGTTATTCGTTTTCTTTCACTCGTACACATGTCCTTTGCTGTTATCAATCGTTTAACCCAGAGTAATTCATCAATAAACATTAATCAGTTTTTTGAAAGTTATATTAATCACATATCTCGAAAAGTAAAAACAAAGGCTGAAAACTTCAAATTTCATATTAATCTTTTGAAATAAAAAAAACCTGCGCCGGTTTCAAGGTTCAAGTTCCGTTCGCTTTTTTATAACTAAGTTTTTTGAAAAAAGTTGAAGAAAACATCAAAAACGCCATATCTCGAAAAACAAAAAGATTTGATCAGTCATACTTGGACACCAGATTTCCAACCTCTGAGTGTACCCTGACAGCACCCCTCTATAGGGTTGAGAATTTCAAGGTCGGTTAGTATTTTTATTTCTATGTTTTTTGAAAAAAAAATCAGAAGTCGCCGCATCTCGGAAACCGAAAGGATTTGAGCAGAAAAACTAGGAGGTCAAATATACAACCTGTGGCAGTGCCTTTACAACACCATAACAAAGAGTCGACAATTAAAAGAATTTCGAGCTCCAATTTAAAAAAAATTAAAGCTCCGCGTTAAAGATTTTGCGCTCCAGCAACCGTCTGTTGAAAAAAAAAGATGACATTGCAAAACTGCATTCAATTATTCATAGGAAAATTACCTACTTCAAAACATTAAGGGATATTTAGAAAAGCTAACTAAGGCTGATGCTTAAAATAAATTGGTGCATGAATGAAAATATCCCCGTTCGTACAGCATGAACTTAACCCGCTGGATTCTCAGTACAAGAGTTTGTGAACAAGCGTAACTAGGAAACAAGGAACCGCCCCAAATTTTATAATTTATCCTCATAAATGCGTATCTAAGATACAAGAAGCCAATACTGAATATATTTAAAAATACACATTACTTAAAAATATATAGTACTCTCATATCAATAGAGAAGCGCAGACTCTCGAAACTCAACCTTGCAATTATGTCTAGCACAAAAGATAAATAAAAACCACTGAAACAGCAAAAATTAAAACATAGAGGCGGAAGTGACTTTCGTACTACTTGCGATAGGACAATTTAAAAAATTAAACGATGTTACTATTGAAAAAGGAAATGGAAAAAACGAAAAAAGTTTTTTATGTGTTAATTTCCAACATTTTAAAAACAAGAGTCCTCTTGTGAGATTGATTTTGAGCATTCAACTGTACTGCCAAATGCTGTTCGATCACAAAAACATCGGCAAAATATCGAAATTTTATAATTATTCCCCCAAAAGTTTAGAAGTAAATATACCATTTACAGTAGCAATTAGCTTAATTAGCCGGAAGTTAAATTTGAAATCACGGGAAATTGAGCATGTCCGCAATACAAATGAACTAGCGCACGCATGTCTCGCACCTACGGTCCTTCAATTAGATCGTTGAACATAAAAATATTATCCCGAAGCGTTTACTAAAACAGCGATATTTAATGCAACCGTGGCTTTCTATTTCATAAAGAATGCCATATATCGAAACAATAATGATTTGAACAGATAAAAGTAGAGTGCATATTTGTTGACCTATATTGTACACTAACAGCACCCCACAATAGGGTTGAGATTGTGAAACAAAAATTTTGATAATTTTATGTTGAGATGATAGGAAAAACGTAGAGTTAAGGCTTTCGCGCTCCAACAGATTTTAAAACGTCGACTTGAACGAACAATTCAATCCTTGCAACGTTTTGGCTTTCTAAAAGACCAACATTGTGACTTCTTAAACGCGTGTCAAGTGAAAAGCCAAATAAATAATCTAGAGATTTTTCAAAATAAAGAATACTTTTAAAAATACTAACTGAACTTGAACTATTGAGAATGTATTCAATTGAAAACGTACTTAGAGTATTGCAATGAATTTAAAAAACA